AATTAATCAGTGGAACAGCTTGCCTCCAGAAGTTGTGAAAGCCCCAACACTGGAAGTCTTTAAGAAGATGTTGGATAGCCATCTGTCTGAAATGGCTATCGGGTTTCCTGCCTAGGCAGGGGGTTGGACTAGAAGACCTCCAAGGTCCTTTCCAACTCTGCTATTGTATTGTATATTATTGTAAACTAGGTGAACTAGCCCTAAACAGATGACACCCTAAAATTTGCTTCCAGCTGAACTATGCAACTGGTTGCTGCATAATATTGGGGTTAGCTTTTTTTTTTAAAGGACTTTCTGCCTTCCCCAGGGCAGCAACCTTCATCATTAGATTGGAAGAACTGAAAGTTTAAGTCTTTTAATACACACTTTTTTGTGTACTGAAGATTTGGGCTTTTTTAGCATAATGTATGCCTTAGTTTAAAGACCATGCATGCCTTTGATTACCAAGACACTAGACACATTTTCAGAACATTTAGTTTTACCCATTTGAGTGGCTATAGTTGTTGCAGAGAAGATGTGCTATATTACAGGCGACTGATTGCCTGTTTCTGGTCTAAAACATTGTTTGCCTGCCCTTAAATAATTGCACTATGATTTTCAAAAAATGTTCTTTACAAACTCTAAGTAAATGAAGTAGTAATGAAGTTACTACTAATGAAGTTGTGAAAAATTTGGGGGCATAAAGTGGTCTCGTTTAATTTATTATTCATCTATTTAATTTATTATTTTTCAACCTTCTCTAAAGATAGTGAACATCAACTCTTATCCAGCACCAAGTTAGAAGAAGGCTCTATTCTTGTAATAATGCTTACCTGTTCAGAGATAAGTACCACTGTGTAAGGTTTGCTTGTGGATTGTAAAAACGTAAATTGTCTAAAAATATTAGGCATAGTGTTCAATTATTAAAATATAGTAATTTGAAAACATTATTTCCCAAACTGAAATAATACCATTTTGCTGAACTTTCAGAATTGAGTAAGGCAATTAGCCTGGATTTGCCAGAGGTTGAGAGAATGGCAGCACTCCTCCTTTCTAGTTTCCAGGTAAAGTTCAAATTATATCTTTTTTTAAATTAATTTTTTATTAACAAACATGTAAAATACACACACACAAAACCTAGACGTACAACGCATTTACACAATACAATACGAACAGGAGCCGAGGTGGCGCAGTGGGTAGAGTGCAGTACTGCAGGCCACTTCAGCTGACTGCTATCTGCTATCTGCAGTTCGGTGGTTCAAATCTCACCGGCTCAAGGTTGACTCAGCCTTCCATCCTTCC